GTCACTGTGGGGCAGCACGGGGCTGGGCTGGCCAGGTGTGGAGCTGGCAGTGGGCCTCTGGGTCCTGGCAAAATCAGGACACAGTTAGGACCACGGACCCACTGGGTATGCTGTGCAGCTTTGTCCACTTCTGCAGATGACTTCAGAAAGCAAACCTTGGGGCTTGACCAAGAACTGAGGGCAGGGGGTGTGCACACCAGTGAGGCGGCCGAGCCTTGGGTGAGCACAACGTGGGTGCCGTGGGAATGGCCCAGCTCTGCATTCAGGCATGGCTGCAGGAGTCACTGAGGCCTCGGCACTCGGTGTGGCCCTCGACAGCACTCTGCAGACACGCTCACCTGAGCCTGCCCGGGCAGCAGCACCAGGGACCTGCAGGGATGACCACCTGGGCGCAGAGCCTGGCAGCACTCTCAGGCCATACAGGGATGGGGGGCTCAGCAGACTCGAGCATGGTTTCTTGGGGTGCAGTTAACTTACATTTTATCCTTTTAAATTTTTATTAGAAAGACAAGGAGAGACAGAGAGTTCTTCTATCCACTGTTCCCCGAATGGCTGCAGCAGCTAAGGCTGGGCCAGAGACTCGGTCCTGGTCTTCCCTGTGAGCTCCAGGGGCACAAGCATTTGGACCACCTCCCTCTGCTTTCCCCAGCGCAGGGGCAGGAAGCTAGATCCGAACAGGAACAGCCGGGACTTGATCAACTGCTGAACCCATTGGGCCAGCATGTCAGCCCCAAGGCGAGAGGTTTCCACGGTGTCTTCAGTCTCACTGGGATCAGGCCCAAACACGCTGGCTGTGACAGCATCAGCCAAGAATCCTGTGGTGTTCTCGTGGGCTGTGAAGTGTAGCAGCAGGTGAGCCTAGCTCCAGGCTCTGGGTCACACAGTTAGTGTGCTGCTGCCAGGCCCACGCCAGAGGGCTGGAGTGCAAAGTCAGGCAGTGCAGCCCGTCGCAGCTGCATAGGCTGATCCTGCCCGGGCAGCACAGGCCTCTTCACATGACTAGCCACAGGACCCGCACAGACAGCCAGCCCCTGCGTGAGACAGGACCTCCTTGGCCATGCTCACAGCAAGTCCATGCTAGCCCCTGCTTTCCTCAACCCCCTTGAGCCACCAGGCAGGTCCAGGGCTGTGCCCAGGACCAACTGGTTTAATCCACACTGCCCGGATACATGCACTGACCCCCGGCTGATCCCATGCTGCATAACTGTAGGAGGACATTGTGACCCTGGAGGGTCAGCGAACACAGGATTACAGCTGATTGGATAATATTTGCATGAGAACAACCGAATGACTACCTTTTGTATACCTGATGGGATATCATTGGTATAAGAACAGTTGAGTGGACAGCATGTGGGTGAGAACACTTGGTGGAACATACAAGACAAAAGGACTTCCAAACAAAAGCATAGGAACAGTTGATGGGTTTGTTGATGGGCTCAATACCTCCACCCTAATCCTATATGACCCTCAGTGTATAAAGTCTGATGCCCCTAATAAACTTTGGCTTTGACCAGCAGTCAGGGTCCACGCGTGTTATCGGCTCCGTGCACCAAGTCCATCGCTGCAGGACAGCCACACATAACTGCCACTTGGTACCATCCACTTGTGCCCAAGGACCAAACTACAGGATGTAGGAGCTGACAGCTGTTCAAACCATACCATTTCTAAGGGTAACTGAGCCCAGAGCTGACCTCCACTAGGGCTTGGAGCTGCAAAGGATGGGTTGGCCAAGAGCTAGACAGGGGGCATTAAGAGAAACAGATGGAGACGCAGGAACAGTGAGGACCACGCGGGGAGCTGGTGTGAGGGAGGGGTGGGGACCACGCGGGGAGCTGGTGTGAGGGAGGAGTGGGGACCACGCGGGGAGCAGGTGTGAGGGAGGGGTGGGGACCACGCGGGGACCAGGTGTGAGGGAGGGGTGAGGACCACGCGGGGAGCTGGTGTGAGGGAGGGGTGGGGACCACGCGGGGACCAGGTGTGAGGGAGGGATGGGGACCACGCGGGGACCAGGTGTGAGGGAGGGGTGAGGACCACGCGGGGAGCTGGTGTGAGGGAGGGGTGGGGACCACGCGGGGAGCTGGTGTGAGGGAGGGGTGGGGACCACGCGGGGAGCTGGTGTGAGGGAGGGGTGGGGACCACGCGGGGAGCTGGTGTGAGGGAGGAGTGGGGACCACGCGGGGACCAGGTGTGAGGGAGGGGTGGGGACCACGCGGGGACCAGGTGTGAGGGAGGGGTGGGGACCACGCGGGGACCAGGTGTGAGGGAGGGGTGGGGACCACGCGGGGAGCTGGTGTGAGGGAGGAGTGGGGACCACGCGGGGACCAGGTGTGAGGGAGGGGTGGGGACCACGCGGGGACCAGGTGTGAGGGAGGGGTGAGGACCACGCGGGGACCTGGTGTGAGGGGAGACAGACTCATGCATCCTCTGTGGCCTTAGGGTTCAGGCCCTCCCACCATATCTACTCCCCCAGGTGTCTGGCCTTCTCTCTCGCTTGAACTTGTTAGTTCATGATGATGACACACCTTTTTTTTTTTTTTAACCACAATCTTGAGCAGAGGCCAGACACCATGGGAAGCTGCCCTTCCCATGGCTTTTAGCTCGGGGTTCCTGAGCCAGGCTTTCTGCTGGGACCAGGGGCAGCAGGAGGGCAAGGCTAGCGTGCCAGGCCAGCAGGGGTGAGGGCAGGGTCTTGTGTGGGCCTCCTCTTGGCAGCAGCATGAAGAAATGCTCTTGAGCAGAGCACTTACGGTACAGGCAGAGACCTGGGGGCTGCTGGTGCTGAGTGCGCACAGGACCCTGGAGGGCAGCAGGGCAGGGACCCCCATCAGGGCCCTGGAGGGCAGCAGGGCAGGGACCCCCAGCAGGGCCCTGGAGGGCAGCAGGGCAGGGACCCCCAGCAGGGCCCTGGAGGGCAGCAGGGCAGGGACCCCAGCAGGGCCCTGGGCCAGCCTCGTGCCATCACCCATCACTGCCCTGCCCAGTGCTGTATGAGGGTCAGGTGGAGGCTGGGTCCCCAACAGCGTTTTGTCCCTGGAAGTACGCTGTAAAGGGAAGGGCGGATTTTTCCAGGAGGGTCAGGAAGGGGCTGGAACCCGAGGTCCTGGTGCTGGGAAGGACCCTTTCATTTCCTGCCTCACAACGGGAAGTCCTCTTCCAGAGGCCGGCTGAGCAGCTAGGAGTCACGTGGACCTGGCGTCCACCCGGGCCTCTGCTGCCAAGGGCTGGCAGCTGGCACGAGATGTGAAGCATGGTTTCCCCTGCAGGCCAGTTTTCGTCCTGAGGGTCAGGATGTGAGGGCAGGAGCCGGGAAGAAACCTCCCTGTCCTCGCACGCACAGCGGGTCAGGTGGCGAGGGCTGCACGGGACACCAGCCACTCAGGCCAGGAGGACAGTTCCTCATAGATTGGAGCCCTGGGAGTTCGGCCTGCCATCCCCAAAGCGCCTCCCTGCTACACCCCACCATGTCCCCCTCTGAGCGGTCTCTCCTTCAGCCCCTCAAAGTGGCTGGTTTGGCAGCAGCTGTTTCAGTTTGATCCCAGAGCTAATGTTGTGCCCAGGTGGACTTTTAGAAGGTTGCTTGTTATTTATTTATTTGAAAGGCAGAGAGAATCTTCTGTCTGCTGGTTTATTCCCCCCGCCCCTCAGTGGCCACAGCAGTCAGGGCTGGGCCAGGCTGACGCCAGCAGTCAGGAGTTCCATCTAGGTATCCCCAGAGGTGCCAAGGCCATCACCTGAACCATCCCCACTGCCTTCCAGGATATGCTTGAGGAAGCTGGCATGGTGAGTAGAGCCAGAACCTAAACCCGCAGCTACATGTGGGAGAGCAGAGAGGCCCAGGGTTCCAGAGCCGAGGAGGATGGCGGAGAGCGGCAGTGCCTCGTGTCCAGCCTGGGCCCCCACACTTCAGACTGCATCTCTGGCCCCCAGAGCTGACGTCCAAGCCGCCCATGCGAGGGACCACTCCCCCCTGCTCCCCAGTGGTAACTGGATCACAGGCGCCTCGCACATTCCCAGTCCACATGCTCCCATAGGGATTGGTGAGGCCAGCATTGCGGTGAAGTGTGGCACCCCATGGCAGCAGCCCACCTGGCCCACGCAGCCTCTTGTCACGGCGGTCAGGCCCCACTAGTGCCATTGCCACAGCTGCTCCAAGGAAGGGATGTGCCAGGAGGTCCAGAGGGGAGCTCGTTTATGCAGGTGACCATCGTCCTGGACAAGTAGATTTGCCACAGCTTCAAAACTGAAGATACAGCCATCTAAACCCAACTGCCCCCCAGAGCAGGTCAGCACAGCAGTGGCATGACACACCGAGTGAAACACTGGCAACCAGAATGAGCCCCTGGCCCCTGTCCTGGCTGCCCACTCCCGTCCAGCTCCTGTCGGTGTCCCCAGGAAGGCAACCATGATGGCCCACGTGCCAACGTGTAGCCAAGAGGGAGCTCCTGGTGTGTCAGCCTGACCCAGGCCTGGCTTCTGCGGCCATCTGGGGAGGGAACCAGCACATGAAAGATCTCTCTCGACTCAAATAAATCAATGGATATAACCTTGACACAGGATTTACGAGTGCTGCTCTTTGGAAACAGCAGGATAGAGAAGCATGTCCTCCATGGCAATAGCCTTCCCGGACCCTGTGTCTGCTGGCCCTGGCCCGGCACTTCCAGCCATAGGACCTGCTGATGGTGGACAGGGTCCCGCAGCCTGGACAGGTGTCGGCAGGAGGGGCCCGGAGGTGGGGAGGGGTCCAGGATGAGGAGGGGCCTGTGGCTGAGGCCTGGTCCCCAAGAGTGGTAGACAGGCACTGGCCACAGGGACCTGTCACCTTCCTTGTCAACGCTCAGCTGGGCATCAATGAAGCAGAGCGAGACAGGAAGGAGAGCAGCCTCCCACCCAGCTCATTTCCCCAGGACAAGGCTGCCGTGGGTCGTGCCAAGGACATAAGTGCTGGGAGCTGGGGTGCCCAGCCTCTCACATCTGCCTCTGGGCAGAGCTGCCTGGGACCGATGGGTGGCTTTGAGGGGCACCTGTACCCGGGGCTGTCCTTTCTCCTCTATGGGCTCCATCAGGCACAGCTGTTCTCCAGGGCCCTGATATGCAACTCACCTGCCCAGCACCCACCATGTGGTGCCTGGGGCAGGGGGCCATGGGCAAGGCTTTGGCAGGTGTGTGATGTAGGCTTGGTCAAGATTCTCAGCGCCTGCATCTTGGTGGCCCAGGAACTGCACAGCCTCCCCAGACCATTCGCACTGCTAACCAAGAGGTACCACCAGAGGGACTTCCTGTTCCGTAAGCAGTGGCAGCATGTCACCCTCTACGCTGCCTTCCTGCTGAGTGGCTGTGTAGACGTGGCCAGCCAGCACGTGCTGGCATGCCGCCGCATGGCGCTGGAGCAAGGTGCCCAGGCCCTGGGCATGGCCGTGCTCCTGCCTCTGATGCTGTCCCACATGCAGGACACGGAGGGCGTGGAGCTGAGGTCTCACCTGCTGCTCACACAGGTCATGTTCTTGCTCACACTGGTGCTGACCGCAGAGCTGTGGGTCCCCAGTGAGTTGCGACTGCAGGCGCTAAAAGCCTTCCTGTGCACCCTCAGCGGCTCCTGGCTCATGCAGCTGGCCTTCATGCTATATAAGCCCATGTCGGGCTACAAGTGGATGGACGATGACCAGAATGACCTTGCGTTCGTCACCACTGCCTTCTGCTGCCACGTGACCTGTGTGGCCATCCTGATGCTCTGGATCCATGGCTGCTGCTGGGTGTGGTACGGCTATGTCTCTGCCATGGCCCGGGCAGGTCAAGCGCAGTCCCAAGGGGCCCGCGGGAGCACCTGCAGCTCCTCCCTGCTCCTTCTGTGAGCAGTGTGGAATCTGAGCCACAGCTGCCCCAGGCCTGCCCTGCTCAGGGCTGTGCACCTGAGCCCCTCAAGGATGGATCTTGCCTCCAAGGATGTTGGAATAAATGGCTGCATCTGGTTCTTCCCTCACAGCCGTGGCTCCCCTGAACCCATGTGGCCTGTTCCCCAGGTGCTCCCCTGAGCCCCAAGTCCACTTCCAGAAGGGATGTGGGTGAGTGATCTCAAACCCTGGAACCCTGGACCCTGAGTGCCAGCTTCCCTTACCCCGGGTAGGGCGGGGGTCAGACACCTCATGGGGACAGAGCAGGACAGGGGTCCTGAGGGCTCACCACCCTCCCACTTGCTGTCTGCTTCTGGGGGTGTCCTTTGTTTCTGGGTGGAGGTGCTGCTGCCGAGGGCTGCACCTCACACCTGGAGCTGGGGATAAGCCTCCAGGGTGCAGTGCTTCCAGGGCGCTTAGATGGGGTCAAGCCCTGCCAGGTTACTTGTGTGCATGCGCATGTGTGTGCATGGGTGTACATGGTGTGTGCATCTGCACAAGTGTGTGTGCACACTTCCAGCTCCCTGGATCCTGGCTCAGTGGGGACATCCTCAGGGTGAGAATGAAGTGAGCTTTGGGCACGGTCCGGAGTCCCCACCTCTGCCCAGCCCTGGACTTCCCCTAGGCCCAACCTGTCCCAGTTGGGTCTCGGTGTCGCACGTGCCTCACAGCCCTGCAGCTCCTCTCTCCTCTGGCCTGGCTGGACGTGGGCCATCTGCTCCCTTTGCGCTGTGTTCACCCCACCCTCCTCTAGATGTTAACACACATTATGCGCAATTTTTAAGCCTAAAATTGATGTTCTTTTTAAAGACTTGTTTATTTTAATTGGAAAGTCAAATATATACAGAGAGGAGTAGACAGAGAGCAAGATCTTCTGTGTGTTGATTCACGTCCCAAGCGGACAGCCAGAGCCGAGCCGATCCAAAGTCAGGAGCCAGGAGCCTCTTCTGGATCTCCATGCGGGTGCAGGGTCCCAAGGCTTTGGGCCGTTCTCCACTGCTTTCCCAGGCCACAGGCAGGGAGCTGGATGGGAAGCAGGACCACTGGGATTAGAACCGGTGCCCATATAGGATCCTGGAGCATGCAGAGCAAGAACTTTAGCCGCTAGGCTACCGCGCCAAGCCCTAAAATTGGTATTTCATTTTTGCTGTTACAATCAGGCCTCAAGGCAAATCTTGGCTGAAAAAGGGAGAGGAGTAGTGTGCAAATATTGAATTAAAGCCAAGGCAGGTAGGTCCACTGGGGATGCTGAGGCCCACCCGCTTCTGTAGGTGCAAATACCCACACAAGCCTTATCACCCTGGTTCATGAAAGCAATCAGAAACACGTTTGGTGGTGGGGGTGCAGCAGGGACTTAAATTCAAACCAAGGTTTGGCCAGGAGGCTGGGCCGACAGGAGCCCTCTGCAGTGTGACGACCGTGGGGGTGCCTGAGCCAGGCCAGACCCAATACTGGGGACTCGCCATGGTCACTGCCGCCACACCGTGACTGAGTCCCAGGCGATTCCAGGCTCAAGAGATTTCTTCCCTCAGGATAAGCACACCATGAGGGAATCTTGGGAACTGGACTAAGACCCTGGCTCCGCCCTGCTGCCATCATCTTGTGGCAGGGGGGGCTTGGGCAGGATTTGGCAGTGGGGTTGGGGCAAAAGGAGCCCTCTGCAGTGTGGTGGCTGCAGGGAGAGCCCGAGCCAGGCTAGACTCAACGCTGGGGACTTAGGCCATGGTCATTGCCACCATGTGGTGATTGAGTCCTAGGCTTTGGGTGGCCTATTTGGCACCAGGTTCTGCCTGCTGGCCACCCAGCAGTGAGCTCTGGTAATTGCTGCCTAGGAACACCCATGGATAAGGCCAGTGTGAGTGTAGGTGAGCGACGAATTCTGGGTGATTCCTAGTGACAGGATCAAGGAACTTTCTGGCAAGCGTGGGGACCGAGACCTGGTGGCTGGAGGGGAGAATCCGTAAGCTCTATTTGGGCCAGACTGATTCACCAGCCCACATGAGAATCCTGAGATGGGCTGTTACCATAGAGCATCACTGACTGCCACACACCAGTCCACATGAAAACTATGGCTGGGGGCCTGTCTGGCAGGGCTAGGTACCAGTACCTGACTAAGTGGTGGAACAGGGGATGGGTCACACTTGGCAGGGTCAAGACACTAACCAGCACGTGAGAAAACCAGGTCCAGGAGTAGATTCTGTGGGGGAAGTGTGGGCCGAACCCTGTGGAAATACAAGTCCTGCTGGTTAGCTCCCAAGCTGGGGTGATGATGGGCTGAGCTAGGTGTGACCATAGAACCTGCCATCACTTATGGGTAAAGGAACTGACAACAGTCTGGGCAGGTCAAGGCAGCAGCACCTGCATGTGCATCCTGTAACAGGATGTGGGGTGGGCCAGGCTGCAACTGGAAGGGAATGGACTGGGCAGGGCCAAGCAAACCTTAACTCACAAGGAAGAACAGAAATCAGTATGGAGCACAGGTCATGGCGAGTAGGTGCAAGTAGGCTCTTACATCTACTGGTCTTCATTAGTCAAGGATGCTAGGCCATAGCATCGAAGGCAAAGGCTGAGACAGGTGAGGGGCTAAGCCAACTTGTCAGAGCAATCACTGGCACACGCATAATCTAGGGCTGGGAATCGGCCCAGTTGGGAAGCTGTGAGAGTACACCCTTGCTGGGTTGGGGTTCACCCTGGTGACTGCAGGGGCTAGAGTGGGGTCTGTGTTCTGGTCTGGATATGGCTGTAATCTCCCTTGTACTGGGGCTGGGCACACCTAACCGGGCTAGACTCCAGCACCATCTGGTGCTCTGGAGATCCTGGGTAGATGTAGGATAGACCAGGCTAGGTCTCTGCCCCTACTGAGCCATGTGTGAACAGTGTCTGGGTATGGACAAGCCTTGGCAATGCTGAAACATCCCACAGTAAGAACCGGAATGGATTGAAGGCCAGCAAGGAAAGGCCTCTGTAACTGCCAGGACAGGAGGTAGACTGAGTAGGGCTGGCCCAAGGACCCACCGGTATGCACAAGATCTGCCATAGGAAGAGGTTCTGGTGGAGGAGCCTGGGAAACTCCTCTGTCAGGACACAAGTCCTGCAGGTGAGCGCAAAAACCATGATAGGAAGCAAGCCAGATCAGGCCAAAGAAAGATACCCACCATCATACATTTGGCATAGTTTGGGGGCAGACCAGGATGAACCAGTTCACATCACCCATGGGAGAATCTGAGCACCAGAACAGAATGTGGGTCAGCCAGATTCAGTCGCAACACATACCAGCGCACATTACGGAATGCCAAGGTGAGGTGAGCTGTACCAGATGTGGCCGCAGCACCCAAACAGCACACGTGAGAACCAGGGAGGGAGAGGGCAAAGCCAGCAGGGCTAATGTGGAGGGCTCCCCCTGCTGGACAGCTGCTCCTGCTGGGCTACAACACCTGTGGGCCTCATGTGAGTTAGATCAGGGAAAAGCCGGACTGGGCTGACTGTTTTGACTGGTGTAAGCATAAATTAGAGTGGGCGAGGGTTGATTGGGCTTAGCTGCAGCATCAGCTGGTAGAGGCTGGCACTAGGGGCTAATTCTGTCAAGTTAAACTCCAGAACCACCTGGGGAGTGCATAATTCAGGGGTGGCCTAGGAGGGAAATAGTGGGTGTCTTCCTGTTGGGTTACCACCCCCACTGGAGAGCATGAAAACCAGAACGGGGCAGGGGTGGTTAGACAGAAAGGCACCCGCCAGTATGTGTGTGGGCTAGATAGTGGAGCTGATTGGGTGGCACTAGGCTTCAACGCCCACTGACATGTATGAGAGCTAAATGGGATGTGGGACAGACTGAACAAGTCTACTGCACATAATGGCAAGCATGGGAACCAGGGCAGGGGGCAGACCTGGTGGGGGTTAAGGGGAATCACCCCAACTAGGCTGCAGCTCCCACTGGTTTGCGGGAAGGCTGTCGCGCCCACGTGTCTTACCGCCCAGCAATAAGACGCAGACGCGAGTGAAGTCTTCTGCGGTAAAATTTATTGTGCACAGCAAGATGAGGAGGAAAGAGGCTCCGACCCCGGCAGGCTTTCTGCTCTTATGTGCTGTCTGGCCCCGCCTCCGCCGATGATAGGTCGGCGTCATGATTACGCAGGGTTCTGGGCGACTGGATTCGTCAGTCCCAGTGTTTACGTGCCTGCCGCGCCGCAGCTCACTGCGCAGGCGCCTGCGCAGTACTGCGAAAGCTACGTGACTCTCCACCAAACACCAAGATGTGGCTTCTCTGGCCGGCGCCATTTTGGGTACGGCATGTGGCCAGTACATACAGATACGGCTGGCAACATCTCCCTCCTTCTTATACAATAGAAAAATAAGCTGGTATGGGCCTGTCTTAGGTTGTAGACTCAAGGCGCACGATCCGTCATAGGGAGGCTGCGTGGCTTGACGTAGTCCCTGTCTTAGGCCGATAATTGTCTGGGTCTATCTTACCCGTCATGGGCTACAACCGCGGTGGTTGTAAAGAGCAATGTCTCGACAAGTTAGTTATAAGATTGACTACCCTCTCGCGTGCAATGGACAAGTCCTGCGAGGTGCAAGGGCTAGTCAGGTGCATCATGCATCATGCTCGAACTCAGTGCAATGCCATAATGACCTGAGGTGCAGGAGCCATGATGTCCATGCTCTTAACTAAACCTGTTGAAGCATGCTCAACCATACCATGGGGGAGTCACCATTCTGCATGGCTAGTAGGGCTTGATGTATTGCCACACGATCTCGCTGAGCACGGTGTCTCAGACAACACAGGCAAAAAAGGCATAAGGCACAGCCTGCACACAAGAGCAGAATCAGCACAACCACTCCCACCCACTTCCTTAATATGGGAAGTGATGTTCCAAATCCAAGTGGCCAGGGTTTCAGCAACAACAGGCTCCACTCGTGTAGAATTAATCTGGACAATGGCAATTCTCAACTCCGACTGTAAA